TACATCGTGTCCAGTATCCCCAGAGGGACAGGACTGTCAGAGACCAGTGACTCTGCTGCTTCTACTCTGCAGGTAGGAGTTTTTGACATTTTTTTATTTATTTAATGACACTAACTTTTTTTTTAGGTGATAGGACATCTTTGTAGCTTCAATTCCCTCAAATTTCCTTTTTAGCAATGCTCTTAGTGCTAAGTATTTCTTTTAAATTTTCATATCATCTTTTTTTTTTTTTTACCCTCAAGGCTTCATTCTGTGTGGTTTTTTTTGTTCCTTCTTGTAAAATAAATAGTAAAAAATGATATTCATTTTTAATGGGCCCCACATCCATCCATCCATTACCTTTTATCCATTTCTTCCATTTTGGGTTATGGGGGGTCGCTGGTGCCCATGTCCATCTTTCACTGAGCGAGGGGCAGGGTACATCCTGGACAGGTCGCAAGTTTATCACAGGGTCACATCGAGACAAATGAGACAAACATCCATTCACTCTTTCACTCCCACCTAAGAGCAATATAGAGTTACCAGCCAGCCTAACATGAACGTTTTTCTCTTTGGGAGGAAACCGGAGTAACCGGAGAAAACCTACGCATGCATGGAGAGAACAAACAAACTCCAACCAGAAAGGCCCCCGGACTAGGACTTGAACCAGGGACCGGCTTGCTGAGAGGCAGCAGCTCTACCAGTTGAGCCACCGTGCTGTTCTGGGCCCCACATGTTTTGCAAAAAACTATTTGAGATTTTTTTCTGTATAGATTATCCAAAAATCCTTAATAGAGAAACAGTTCTTTATTAATAATTGAGCAATTGATTTATTAATTTCATAGAAGCAGACCTAATATCCCCACAACATAAACACAATCTGAAATAGTTACATTTTTAATGCCTATTTGAAAGTAATTTAAAAACGTCATACTCTTTAACATTTATCGTTAAACACTATATTTAGTTTCATTCATTGTTCTGTGCCAGTGTGCCTGAGACAACTTTTGTTGTGACTTGGCACTATTTAAATAAACTGAATTGACTTCAACAGGATACATAAACTACTTTTAAATAATAACAGAAAATAAGTATTTTAATTAAAAAAAAAATCTATATCAATGCCTCAATATTTATTCCCACATCCATGTTGAAAACACAAATAAACCCCCCATACATACACATTCTGTAAAAAATATCACAAAAATACATATACAGAATAACATTTTATGTAAATAACCTCATTTAAACTAAGCTTATAATTACACCCATTCAGAAATTTAGAAAACATAAAAACAGCTTGTTAAAAATATATATTTGGTGCTTCTTTACACTGTCGTCATGCAGTCAAATGTTAGTTCAAACATAATTCTAATTTTGCATGAGGTTAAGCCTCAGTTTCCCAGTCCTACATGGTGGCGCTGTTTGGTTTGGACACAGTCTCTGAACGCCATGACAGCAAACCGCTGCGTCACGACGGAACAGCTCTCCGTGGTGCTGAAACTGTTACAGAGTAATCCCTCTGGTGTTTTATAAATTTCGACAATCTGCGGACCGATTCCTATACGGAACTACATCTGGAATCAAGACTGGGACGGATAACTCGGTATTACAGGACACCGGATTATTGATGCGGTCCTCACGCGTAACAATGGGCGCCGTTCCGACAATGGAGTCTGGGAGGAGGTACGTCTTGGCTGCTCTATTACTTTTGTCGCTTGTAAGCCAGATTTTGACATCAGGGACTCATTACTCCATACCGGAGGAGATGAAGGAAGGGTCCGTCGTTGCAAACCTCGCTTCTGACCTCAGACTGGATGTTCAAACACTCAATGAAAGAAAAATGCGCGTTTACATCATCGCCAACAAGAAATATTTGGATGTGAACAAAGAGACTGGCGAGTTGTACGTGGTGGAAAAGATTGACAGAGAGCACGTTTGCCCGACCAAGTCGTCCGTGTCCTGTTATCTTAAACTGGAAGCGACACTAGAAAACCCAGTGCGGATGTTTAACATAGAAATAGAAATTCTAGATATGAACGACAACGCCCCGCAGTTTAGGACGGAGGCCATTCATTTAGATATTTCTGAAGCGACGTCAAAAGGGGAGAGGTTTTCTCTCAGTAATGCTGTCGATCCTGATGTTGGATCAAATTCAGTTAAAACATATTATCTGAGTGACAGTGAGTACTTTAATATTGAGGTTCAAACAGGAAGAGACGGGTCAAAATTTGCTGATTTGATCCTTAAAAGGACGTTAGACCGGGAGCAG